ATCTATTTCCCCTCCCAGGGAGATTGATGTGTCCCTCCTGGTCCCCTCTTATGCCTGTGCTCTCTGGGTTATAGCTTGATTATAATTTATCTAATGGCTAATATCCAAATATAATTGAATACATACCATATTTATCTTTCTGGCTCTAGGTTACCTTACTCAGGATGATTTTTTTTCTAGTTCTATTTATTTATTTTACTGCATATTTCCATGATGTCATTTTTTTAACAGCTGAGTAATACTCTATTGTGTGAATGTACCATATTTTCATTGTCCATTCTTCTGTTGAGGGACATCTAGGTCATTTCCAATTTCTGGCTATTATGATTAGGGCAGCAGTCAATATGGTTGAGGAAGTATCCTTGTGGTGGGACGAAGTATCGTTTGGGTATATGCCCAAGAATAATATAGCTAGTTCTTGAAGGATGACCTTGAGCTTATTAGCTTGCTGCCTTTTTACCTCTTGAATGCTGAGATTACAGACATCACAGTCACTGTTCTCTTGCTCTGAAGAGACAGCATGACCAAGGCAGCTTATAAGAGAAAGCATTTAATTGGGGGCTTGCTTACAGTTTTAGGGTTAGTCCATTTCCTTATGGCAGGAAGCCTGGTGCTGGAGCAGTAGCTAAGAGCCTACATCTTTTTGTTGTTGTCTCCTTGCATTTTAATTTTTGAAAATCCATTATAAATAATAGTAATAGGTTTAGACACCACAAAACAGAACAATTTAAGAGCCCACATTTTTTTTTAAGAGCCCACATCTTATCCACAAGTTGCTGAAGGGAGGGAGGGGGGAAGGGAGGGAGGAAGGGGGAGAGAGAGGGCTTGGGGCTTGGTGTGGTAGTTTTGAAACCTCAGAGCTCACCCCCAGTGACACCTCTTTTAACAAGGCCACACTTCTTTTTTTTAATTTATTTATTTCTTAATTAATTAAAGATTTCTGTCTCTTCCCCACCGCCTCCCCTTTCCTTCCCCCTCCCCCAATCAAGTCCCCCTCCCTCGTCAGCCCAAAGAGCAATCAGGGTTCCCTGCCCTGTGGGAAGTCCAAGGACCACCCACCTCCATCCAGGTCTAGTAAGGTGAGCATCCAAACTGCCTAGGCTCTCACAAAACCAATAGGTGCAGTAGGATCAAAAACCCATTAAGGCCACACTTCTTAATCCTTCCTAAACAGTCTACCAACTAGGAACCAGACGTTGAAATATATGAGCCGTTCTCACCCAAACCTCCAAGCCTAGGGACTGAACCTCTTGGTTTCATATGTGCTAGGTAAGAACCAAGTTCCTTTTGTATTCCCTAGAGATTAGCTAAGACTTCAGGATGATTCACAGCTTCACATTTATAAGTATACACACACTTGCCAGCTTCATGCAAGTGTGATGATTCGTCTGCTTTTGAATGCGATAGTCTCCAGTCCCTGTTAGCCTTTGACTCCTGTGAATCTAAATTGATACCTTAGCTTGGGAGTATGTCTTGTCCCTAAAAGGGGTCCAAACTTTGTCTCCATTCTGACAAGGTCCTTTTGTCTGGGGAGAAAGCCTTCCATTCATCACCTCTCTCCCCATACTCATAATTTATATAATATTCTGTTAAATTTAGTCAGAAAGGACCTGCCCTGGGCCCAGAACCTTGGGGAACCCTGCTTTGTCTTATCGCTGGCTGTGTCCTTCTTGACTAGGTAAGGATCCCAGTAGCTAAGGAGTCAAGCCTCATTCCATTTTTCTTAACACTGGGACTCAGTGACAGCCACCCTGCCCATGCCATGTAAATCTTAAAGATTGCTGTCTTTTTTCTTTCAAATAAAAAATTAGATGGTGGGTGTGATGGTGCATATATGTAGTCCCAGCACCTTGGAGGTGCAGGCAAGAGGATCAGGAGTTCAAGTCATATATTGCCACCATTGGCCACATAGGGATCTCAAAGCCTGGGTTACACGAGACCTTGTCTTAAAAAACTAAAACCATGTAAACCAAAAGCCTGGATCTATTTGGTCTACTTCTGTTACTAGTGGAGCTCCAGAAGGCACCTTCCAAATGTAGAAACAGGACGGACAGTCCTCATCCTTGAGCTATGACTGGTGGACACCAGTGTGTACATCACAGCTGGCATTCTGTGGCTTCACAGAGAAGATGAGCCAGTGGAAGTAGAAATTGAAGCCCAGCCGGCTCTTGGCCACCCAACAGGAAAAGGTTGGAACTGAGAAGGCAGGCAACTGCAGCCTTGGGTGAATCTGGCAACCTGCTGATGGGAGTCAAGGAGCCCAGCAAGTGCCAACACTCGAGATCTCTGGCCAACCAAATAGGCTCAAAAATAAGGGCTCTGTCAAGACCTGGAAAACTACATCGGCTCCAGGGAGACGACTAAGGGGCAAACCCCTCAAATTGAAGGAGTTAGAAGAAACCTCCTCGCTGGAGTCCTGAGCTAAGGGGCAGGAGAGACCCGTCTAGTGCTGCCTACCCCTGGCCCCGCCTCCCATAGCCCCGCCCCTCCGACCTACTGCCACCCACCAGCTGCAGGGCTCCACTGCCGGTCGGGTCGCTGGCCGCGTGGGGAGGAAACAGTTTTCCTCCAACCTCAATCCCAGCGCCTTTCCTACCCACGCGCACATTTGCCCGCTTTCCCAGAAGGTTAACGTCCTGTTCCACATAGCCCCAGCCCGTGCTTCCTGATCTCCTCTTCCCTTGGGAGACATTGTTCTCTGGGCTTCCTGATCTGGGCCCCCATTTGCTACTGCTCTGCTCTACCCCCTTCTCGCAGAGTAGTTTGGGAGTGCACCCCTGTCCTTAAAAGAGGTCTAATAAACCTCATCTCCATTCTGACAAGGCCCTTTTGTCTGAACTGGCAGCAGCAGCAGCAGCAGCAGCAGCAGCAGCAGCAGCAGCAGCAGCAGCAGCAGCAGCAGCAGCAGCAGCAGCAGCAGCGATAGCTAGTGCAGATAATTCTTAGACCCCAGGACGTCCCTGGCCAAACTGTCACCAGCTGGAGCTCTCAGCTACTTCTGCCCCGCCCCCCCTTACCTTAAACTAAGCTGGGCAGGTGCCGTGGGGTACAGGAAACAGGACAGGGATTGGGCCCATCCGCCTCGCCTTCACCGGGCTCTGGAACTTAGTGCAGTGACAGGTGCAGACAGACATTACCCATTACCAGGTGAGGCCCCATTTCCCGCGACAGGGGGCATGCTGGGGCAATCTTTCACCCATCCCCACTTCCTGCTGTGCTGTTTTCCTTCATCCAGTGGGACACTCTTAGCTAGGGGCTAGCCTTGCCCCCTCTCTTTCACCTCCCCAAATTTGTGTTGTGCCCATCCCTCCCCGCTTTGCTCACAAACTACTTCCGGGCAGTTGTGTTGTTTTTCCTTCAGGTTCATGCTTAGACCCCAACCGTGGCTACTGCTGTCAGCACTAAATATTCATCCACAACCATCTGGTTCTGTCAACCTTTGCCTCCCCAAGGTACTTGTGGGGAAGGGGGGCTCTATGCAGTGGGAGGGAGGGCCGATGTTGATGACCAAGGGTGTAGGGGCCACCTTATCCCTAGTCGTTTGTCCCAGACTGAAAAAAAAATTTTTTTTTCTCTCTCCCTATCTGTGTGTGTGTTAGAGGGGTGCATGTCTAACATGTACCTCATCCCTTCTATCTCATCTGCCACAGATAACTGCCATTGAACTTGAACTTAAGGCCTTTTTTATTTTTTTAAAAATTATTTTTATTTTATGTGTATGAGTGTTTTATCTGCATGTCTGTCTGTTCACCGTGTGTGCAGTGTCCAAGGAGGTCAGAAGACGGCTTTAGATCCTTTAGAACTGTAGTTGCAGACAGTTGTGAGTTGCCATGCCATGTTGGGAGCTAGAAATTGAACCCAGGTCCTCTGCAGGAGCAGTCAGTGCTTTTAGTTTTTTTTTTTTTTTAATGCACTAGCCAACAACATTCATATATTCCACAGAACTGTACTTATAAACAAATATGCTTTTACAGGTCTCCTTCCCCCTCCCCCCCCAGTAACACATCCTAGCTGTCATTTATGTTTTTCTTTTCTGGTCCCCAAATGCTCTGAGCTTATCAGTCCCCCAATTTTCAGATATTTGAGTTTATTTCTAGCTGAGTAGTCATCATGACTTACTTCATGCCCCCTTCCCTCCCTGCCCCTTGGCTCTTTCCTTCTCCTGGTTCTTCCTTGTTGGTTGTCAAGAAACCCCTGGAGAGGACTTTCTTGGCAAGTCTTCAGCATTCCTCCCCATCACCTTCCTTTTCTTGCTGAGAGCCTTCACAGCTGCCCTTCATCCTGGGAATTCAGTCTCCTAAGCCAGACACCCACGAGCCTGCATTCTCCTTGCTTTTCTCCTCCTTGTGTTCTCTCCACTCTTCCCTCTCTTCCCGATGCCTCCTAGGAATCCTATGGCCATCTGGTCAGTAGCCTGGGTATTGCAGTCTCTTCTCTTTCCTAGCTGGCTATCTGCTCTCTGAGAATGCCCCCCCCCAACTCTCATCAGGGCTGGGGACCCTGCTGGTCTGGTACCCCAATATCTTAGCATAGCACTAACCTCTCATTAGAAACATGCCCTTGATGAGGAAGAATGCACCCTCTCCATGTGTTGTCTCTGGATGTCACTGGAGAAGGTCCTGTCCCCAAGCTCCCTGGAAGGTTTTGGAGGGTTATGTACTTGAAGGCCATGTCTTTGACTTTAGATGTGTGTCTACCTCTGGATGGATCTCCTTCTCCTTGTTGAATGGCTCTTGGGACTGGCACACGGATGGCTAAGCCCCTCCAAATTCTACAGATCCTAGATTTTAGCTAGGAGTAAAGTAACCTGAGGAACTTCATGGTTTCTGTGGGTCAGCCCCTTTCCATCAATTCAGGAAGGCTATCCAGGGAAAGGGGCTGCTCATGGACAAGGGCCAGTCATCATCTCCTTGGACCTTTCCCACTTCCTGTAGAGCTAGGACTAGGTCAGTCCTGCAGACTTGTCTTAAACTGTGATTACCCACTTTAGGTCAAGACTAATGTCTTCTGAGAAGTTAAGAGAGAACCCTCAACCTCAAAAGGTAAGAAAGCAACAAAGGGAGAGGGCATTTGGAAGCCACACAAAGTGTCACTTGCCAGAATACAAATTCACTGGCTTCCAAAATGTCACCAGCATACAAATCCACTAGCTTCTGCACCAGGCTTGCAAACGTAGCCAAGCCTTTTGGGCCAAGCGGTCACTTAGGTGGGCCTAACAAACAGGCTCCTCTTCCCTCTTTCCTTTCCTCCCTACTCCCACACTGAGGACTGAGCCCAGAGCTTCGAGTAAGCTAGGCAAGTATAACATTGACCCATATCCCTAGCCCTACTGTTTTGTTTTGTTTTTGAGATAGTGTCTCAATATTTATCTCTGACTGGCCTGGAACTCACTGTGTAGACCAGGCTGGCCTCAAACGCACAGAGGTCTGCCTGCCTCTGCCCTCAGAGTGCTGGGATTAAAGGTACACAAACCATGCCAAGTTCTACTTTAAAAAATTTTTATTTACTTATTATTATTATTATCATCATCATTATTATTTGAGACAGGGCTCCTTTATGCAGCCTGGCTGGCCTCATATGTCCTGCCTCAGCATCACATGTACTGTCTTGGGCTGCAGGTATGTGCTTTCATAGTCACATGTTTAGCTTGGCTTCTTCTCTGAGAGCACAACACGGGCCAAACGTCACATACATGAGGATATCAAGCCACAGTCTGTTTGTGGCCTATACCTAATTTTGTCTAGCAAAGCGGTGATAGTGGTGAGGTGATAAATTTCATCAAGCCAGATGTATATCTCATTATCTCAAGCCAGATGTATATCTCATTATTTCAAGCCAGATGTATATCACATTATCTCAAGCCAGATGTATATCACTTAATCTGTTCGGTGCATGGGACCGGAAAATATAGAGATAATGCAAATTACAATTAATTTAACTGAATATGTCCTTATCTTCTTAAATCTCATTTCGAGATATGTCACAAGAACCATCATCATTTATTGTAAAGCCACTTTTCTGGGGTTTCATGTAGCTTCATGTGTCATTTAGGCCTTCAGAACTCTGCAGGCTGAGTGCTGTGGATTTCTGTTTCTCAAGTGAAGAAATCAGTGGCTCAGAGAGATGAGAAATGCCCAAGATAACATAGCTTGTAAGTGGGAGAGCCTGATGTAATTCTAACCCACATCTCAGGACTCTGCAACCATGCGTTACCTCTCATGCCTACGGTTTACATGTATAGACGGAGATGCACCGGATGGTAGAAATGATAAGAGCCTGAGGAATGTTAGGGGTGGCAGTGGTGGCTCTCAAGTGAATGTTAAGAAAAAGCTCCTTAGAGAAAGTGCTGATAATGGGGTTTAGCTGTGGGGTAGGCAAGCGGCACTATGCACGGCATACGAGGTGAGAAGTGGAACACTTACTTGCTGTTTGGATCCGCAGTGCCTGGTGCTCAGTAAGCATGTTTGCCCCTTTGGTGGGGCTGAAGTCCACTAGTTCTAAGCTAGGAGGGGTGCACACTCCTGTATTCCTAGCACTTGCGAGGCTGAGGCAGGAGTATGGCAAAGCCACCTTGGGCTACATGTGATTCCCTGTCTCAATAACCAAAACAAACAAAAAGTTAGAAACAAAACAAAAAAAGGAGTCTGTGTCCTCTAACCTTGCTGACCCAAACATGGCACCCATAAGAGAACAATAGTTACCTCTCCATCGTCACAAGAAAGACTCTAGGACCTTTTTCATCTTCATAGGATTAAAACATTTAAGAACGAGTAAGCAATATCCACCAGAGATTTACCTTGTAAACAGGATGTGGCTCAAACATTTGGTTCAGAGGACTAACTGTCTTAGTGCCTAGTTGTGATCATATTTGTCCCAGGTGGCCCCTCCAGATGGATCCCAAGACAAGGAGACTTCTGACTTCCTGCCAGTGACAGACAGTCTTAGCCAGAACAGCGAAATCAATCAAAGGACTCAGCAGTTTAATGAGATGCACCTGGCTGACCTACAGAAGTTGTTTGAGAAGGAAACAGATGAGACTGGAGGTACAGAAATACCGTAGGATGATCTTGGTGACTCCTGCCCACGACCCGGTATCTGGGCTGTGTGCAGGACTCAGACCTGGTCAGCATTTTTATATCTGCTATCTTGTTTAGATCTGGGTAAGTGGTGCAGGGATAGTGAAGGCTTTCTGAGATCTCTGACGTTTTTAAAATTCCACTAGCCCAGATACCCAAGTATATCCTGCTGCGTTTTGGTGTGTTTCCCAAGCATTTTCAGCCTGTGGTTTGTTTGTTATCAATTGTTGTATGACAACATTCCCACATCTTAGTTAGTGGCTTACCCCAACTTGTGCTTGTGATCTCCAAATTTCCTGAGCAAGGACAGGGCTGAGCTGCCTTCCTGCTCAGGGGCCCAAAAAAGCCGCAGTTCTATAGTCATCTGGAGCTGGACTTGGGAAGGCCTTAGGTCTAAGCTCAGATATGTTGTCCCAAAATTCAGATCCTTGCTGCTGTGGCATGGAGGCCTTTCATTTCTTTCTGACTGTTGCAAGGAGGTTGCCCTCCGCTCCCAGAAGCCTGGCCATGTGAGATTCGCCAACATGGCAGCTGGCAAGGTAGATCAACTCACAGGTGTCACAATCTTATGGTCATGGAACTGTGGAGCCATGATGTGATCCCTGTTGTCCAAAAGCGAGGGGACTGCAGGAGGGTGTGAACAGTAGGGCCCACCCTGCTGGGGCCTCTGTAAGTATATCTAATCTTCTCTTCAGATACTCATTGGTAGTGGAAACAATTGTGAGTTGAGGAAGCAAACACCAGCTTGGCCTCCCTTACTAGATGTGTTGAGAACGCGTACTCAGCCTCAGGTTGGTTAAAATCAGCTAACACAATGCACATTTTAAAATAAAGTGTGCGATATCTCATGAAATCAAGAAATAGCATTTATATGTGTTTGCATTTATACCACTGTGAAATGGAAAGAAAAGCTGTAAGCTGGGGACTGTGCATGTTATTACAGACCCTTCTTTTTCACATCGTTTTAATATCTGAGGGACTTGGCATGGTGCCCTGGATCCTCCTATGCAAGCCTTGTTAATGGATCCAAGTGCTCTTCTATGGCTGGAGTCGTCCCTCTGATTCTCTTATTTACATTCCATGGGCTATAAATGATGTCTTGGGGATACTTTCTGCATACCAGACCTTTCTCCTTCTGGCAACTTGATTTCTGCCTTTTGGAATGATACTCTTGGAAGTCAAATAGGAGTGAAGGCATCTTCAGAGTTGACTATGGTTGCTAGTGCTGTGCCCATCTATTTTCCTGTTCACTTGAGTATTGTAGCCACATTATGCTGTTTGGAGAGAGAGAGAGAGAGAGAGAGAGAGAGAGAGAGAGAGAGAGAGAGAGAGAGAACAAGACACAGAGACAGAAGCACAGAGAGGGACAATGTGTGCACATGAGCAGGCTGGAAGTTGACATCAGGATATCTTCTATTGCTTTTGCCTCATTTGAGACAGACCGGATCTCTTCACTGGATCTGAGCCTTGTAGTTTTGGCAAGGCTGATGGACAGCAAGTCCCCAGGATCCAGCAGTCTTTGCCTAGGACTGGGATTACAGGCATGTGCTGCCATGTCTGGCTTTGCATGTATGTTCCTGGGACTGAACTGATATCCTCATACTTGCAAATGCTTCACCACTGAACTGACTTCCCAGTCATCTGGCTATGGTGTTAGCTTGGGGGAGGAGAATTCCCTCCACATTGATGGAAGGTTAGGAAATCAGGCTATTTTTCTCTTTAGACACCTTCAACAAGGCTATTGAGAACACGGGGCGGGGGTGCACACCATTTCCTAGGCACCTGGACACCAGCACTGGTGGAGGATGAGCAAGGGTATATCAGTGCCTTCCTGTTCACCATGTGTCCTCCAGGCAGGGGAGTTCTTACAGCGAGGGAGAGAGAGAGCCATGGCTCTGAGGAGACCGCCTTCCTCTCTCCTGTGGGTCTGTAAGTGCAGAGGCAGTTTTACTTTACCTGTCTCCCAGCAGCACTCAGAAAACAGTCACCATCCGGGCCTGTAAGGACTGTGGAGCACTACTTGCAATATGTAAGCCTCTTGGCCCCAGCATTACATATTCAGATGGGCATTTCTCTAAGTCAGCACATGTTGCTCAGGCCTCCGTTTGAGCATCAGTCTAGTAGGAGAGACGGATGGCTGCAGCAGCACTTGTCTACTCTGTAGGAATAGGGCAGGGCGGTGTCAGTACAGTGAGCTCTGAAGTTCCTACCTGTCACTACCAACCTACTGGCTGTGTGACCTTGACCTCGAGCAGGCAGCCTCAGTTTCCTCAGAGCCCCCTATATGTGGCCAGCATTCATAGAATGCAGAGCTGTCACTTCTCAGGGACTAGTGTTTGTGGAGTGCCCAGAACCAAGTGACAGAAGGGCTCTTGTGTGCTTCTAGAGGTCATGGCGGAGTGGGAGACAGTGCATGTGGCAGACAACTAAGAAGCCAGCAGCAGGGATGGCAGCCTCCTCAGATGGTCCTTAGGAAGAAAGGCATCCTTGAAGAAAGAGTGACCTGAACTGCAGGGGGCGGGACGTCCAGGCTGTGAAAGTCCCCGTGGTGGGCATGGGGGTTCCGATAACTGGAGCAGAGTATGGAGGGTGTGCTGGGGGATGAGTCTTGCTGGGTGGAGCCAGATACTGCACAGCCTTCGCGCCATGGCAAGAGGCCCAGTTTTTGAAGGGGTTTTAGAAGTGATTTTTGAAGGCAATAATTATATTTAAAAAAAAATTAGACAGGGCCAACTGACACCTTTGTGAACTTGAACCCAGCTCAGGGAGAAAGTATTTTATGCTGGCCTTGTTTTTCTCCTTTCTTCACCTTCTTCCCCTCTAGGCAAAGTGTGCTATTGTTATTATTATGTCTTTCTGAAACAGGACCTCTGTAGCCCAGGTTGACCTTGAACTCTGAACTTTCTGTCTCTGCCCCCCCCCCCATGCTGGAATTATAGGCATACACCATCATATCTAACTAAAAGCTGATATTTTTATAAATGGTTTTAAAAAGATATATTTAACGTAATGTGGTAGATTGGGATCCACAGCCCCCAGCTGCTCTCTATCTCTCTCCCATGTGGCTGTTTGTACCTGGCTCCCCATGCAGGGGTTGCTGCTCATCACTTGCACCAGAGTTCACTGCTTGTTGTCTGTGGAGAGTTGATGCTGTAGTCTGTATCCCTTGATCAGAACTGGGACCTGGTCTGTCCTCCCTCCTTCCAGCTGTGGGGTCAACACAGTGGCAGGTGTTCATGAGGAATGCCTGAGTGTGGGCCAATGAGATGGGAAAGATAATTGGGTGATGGCAGAAGCATCAGGAATCAGCCGGTCTGTGCTAAGGTGGATGCTGGGGCCTTGAGGGAAGGGTAAACAGTGCCAAGTTCATGACTGATGTGAGGGGTAGGGGAGGGGCTGGCTCTTAAGGCACATCTGGCTGGAGTCCTCCCATCTGCTTCCCTTGAGAGGGCCCGACTAACAATCACAGGCAGGTAGCAGACAGAGTGTCTAGAGTAGAGTGCCTGCAGCCTGTGGCCTGTGAGGGCCAGGCGACTTGTGAGTAAGCACTGGTGTTTTTCTCTCCTGAAGCCCTGAACAAGGAAGGTTTCATCAAGATCATGAAGAAGATGCTAAGCACCATGCCTGAGGAGATGCTGGAGGTGCTGTTCCTGAAGGTGGACTCAGACTGCAATGGCTTCGTCACCTGGGTAAGGAGGGTCCCCTGCTGCCACAAGAAATCGGGAAAGGCTAGAAGGTCCAGCCTGGACCTCTGTGTGGAACAAGCAGAGACTTGAAGATGGGTGGCAGCAAGTATCAGTCAAAACGGACTGTGGTACCAGTTAGGACACTTACTAGGTAGAGGGAAGCTGCATATCTCTGAGGGGTCTCCCTTCAGACTTCTGGGAGGTGGGCTCATTGGCTCCCACATTGAGACCCCTGAGGTACAGCTAGCTTTCCTGTACTTCAGAGCCATTCCCTCCTGGTGTAGGGAGTCTTTGTCAGTACAGTGATGGTATTATGGCCCTTTCTTGTCACTCAGGTACAGGCAAGCTCATGGCTGTTGACTCTGGAACTGTCAGGTCTTCATAGTGTAGGAATGATGCTAATTTTAAACACCTTGTGGTGTGGAACAGCACACATGGCATTGATCCAGCAGAAATATGCAGAGCCTTGTGGGAAATCAGAGAGACTGATGGGAAGATGATCTTGAGGCACCATGTCCAGCACTTGGTGTATTCCTCTGCTGAAGTCTCACAGGATACAGAAGGGTAGAGGCTGGGAAACTTGAGGCTCAGAGCCATTAGGAACTTGGTTTCAGTGTTACAGAGCTGGCTACCAGCAGACCTCATGTTCAGACCTGAGTGTGCCGCAAAGGTCTGTGGGTAACTGTCTATGAACATCTCCTCATGGTTTGGGTATAATGTTCCCAGCATTCTCTGTCTACATGATGATTCTTGCCACCTCTTCCTTTTTGTGGTACTAGAGGTCTTGTGTATGCCAGGCAAGCATTCTTCCACTGAGTTCATCCTCCACCCTCCTCTGTCTATCCCTTCTTTCCTCTACCCTCCTTTCTCATTGAGATGGCAGCTTTGTTGTCCATGTTGGTCTTGAACTCTTAGGCTCAGGTGACCCTTCTGTGTACCTGGGACTAAGATGTGTCGCTATCCCTGGTTCCTATTTCTTATTATAGCTTCGTAGGTTTGAACCTTGACCATGTTTTAGTGAGGTTGGTCACTGGAGCCCAGAGTGGCAGATATTTGCAGGGTAGGTGTACCCGCATAGCTGTGAACCCTCCCTACTGTTAACTTTATCATGGACATGAACAAATCAGACACGGTGCCTCAACCAGATTATCCTCTGTGTGAACAGAGGTGACTGGAAACTTTCTATGGACAGCCAGGTGATGTGACTGTGGCCTAGGGATGGCTTGTCCCATTTGAGATTCAAGCACAGGCTTGTTGGTTGGCTACTTTCCTGGTGAGTACTCAGAGGACAGCCTTCAGAGCCACTTGGAGGGGGCTGTAGAGAGAGGAGGGAAGACACGGTATGCCAGGTTTGGGTCCTAAAGGCAAACATTAAGACCACTACCAATGCCTTCTTTCCCTTGCTTTGTCTTTCTGAGACAGCAAAAGTATGTGGATTATATGATGCGTGAGTTCCAGGGCAAGGAGGAGATGAGGAAGAGCCAGTACCGCCTGCGCTTCCACCTTCCCATGACCGTCATCCCCCTGTAAGAGCCTCTTCCCTGCCGCTGGGTGTGACGGAAAAGTGCTGGTGCTGCCCTCCAGGGAGCCCCTCCTCAGTCCATGAGTCACTGGCCCAACCAAAGTGCTGGCTGGCCTCTTGTCCTTCCAGCTTGTCCTTCACAGTCTGTAGGTGGTCATGATGGTAAAGGTAGGTGGCTTGTCCCCCTTTCACAGATAAGGAAGTCAAGGCTCAGAGAGGCCAGCCTGATGCCTTGCCCAGGCTGTTCTATGCTTTCTTGCCCACCTTTCCTGCACACTGCAGTTTCTCTTGTTACCCTATATTACCAGTGTTGACTGAGTCTAGCAATTTCATCCTCAGAGCCACAGATGGCTCACATATGTGCAGCTAGGATTCTCCTGTGAGGTGACAGGGAGGACTCTGGCCAAGCTGTAGAGGCCTTGCTGACCCTCAGGAGAGGGGGTGGCTAGAACTTAGTGGCTCTGACTTGTCTCTGCCTGACCTGCTACTCACTCTACTTGTGGCCCCTCTACCCATGCCATCTACTGGATCTTGGCCTTGGAGGACTTCTCTAGCAGATGAGCCACAAGAGAAGACCGTACAGCTTTATTTAGTACAAGTTTTACATCTTCATGGGGACCTTCATAGGGAAGTGAAAGTGTTAGAAGCTGTATATCCTGGGTGTTGGTGTGCTAGGTTTGAGGAAGAGTGGAAAGTCATGGGGCAACTGCTTATTTGATTTCTGAGATGGATCTTATGTACCCCAGTTTGGCTTCCAACTCAGCATGTAGCTTGAACTTTTGATCCTTCTACCTCTGACTGCTGAGTGCTTAGATTATAGGTATGCATCTAGTTTTATGCAGTGCTGGGGATCAAATCCAGGGTTTCATGCATACTAGCCAAGCACTCATTCAACTGAGTGCCTCAGGGAAATTGGATTAAAATAGGGAGGAGTCGGTGTAATAACTGGAGGAGACTTGGCCCGTCTGTCCATGCCCATTCTCTGTGTCCTTGACTTTTCAGAAGTTGTGCCGGTCTGTGGAGGTGTGTAACCAGCACTAGGTGCTAGGGGCAGGAGGATCATAAATTTAGGGTCCGCTTCAGCTACATGAGTTGGAGACTGGCCTAGTATACAGGACACATTGTTTCAGAAGAAAAAACAAAAAAAAGATAAGACTGCTCCCACCTGGGATCTTATGGTGGCAACATACTACTTCTCAAATTCATTTAGCTGAAAATATTCAATAGTCCAAAGTGCCATGCTTTGGGTGGAGTGTCTCAAATTTCATCAACCTCTTCCTTTCCTGTGGCCTTCTCTCCCCTTTTGAAGTTCCTCCCTCTAATACCCTAAGAACAAGGTGTAGTTTGTTGGCTTGCAGTGGTTCTTAACCTTCCTGATGCACGACCTTTTAATACAGTTCCTCATGTTGTGTGATCTCTAACCATGAAATTATTTTCGTTACTACTGCATAACTGTTATTTTTCTACTATTATGAATCATGTAAACATATTATATACAGGATATCTGTGACCCGTGTGAAAGGATTGTTGATCCCCAAATTGATTGCAACCCACAGGTTGAGAACCATTGGCTTAGAACATGCCCCTCTGCCACCAGGGTCCTTGAACTGGGCTGTCTATGGACCCTTTCTCCTTTCCTGGATCTACCCTGGGTTGGAGCACCAGCAGCCTTGGCTGTGTGGCAGGGCACCAGCTCCTGTGGAGCAGTTTGGTGAGCCACATTTGTATATGGTGAGAGCAAGCTGTAGGTGGGCCTGTTCTCAGAGAGCCACACCTGATGCAGGCTGTGGAGGAGCAAGACCTAGAGGTTGTCTCTGCCTCGGGCAGCCTAGAGCTTTAGTGAAGAGGGCAGTTTAATGGAGATCATAGAAGAGTAGCTTGTAAAAAATTCTGGTTGGGAGTTAATTGAGGAGTAGCCAATTAAATATGAATAATGAGAGATTTTATAACTGTAATTTTGACATGAACACTTGGCTTGATGTAGCTTCTCCTTTGATTGTCTTTATTTCTTCAGATCTTAAGAATGTTTAAAATCTGGGACACTAAATTCCAGGAAGCTTTTCCTTATTTGCTCTAATTTATTTCCACAGCTTGCAACTCAAGAGGGATCTGATCTGGTGGAGAAAAAGTAGCCAGAATAGCCAAACACTGTTTAGTTAATTATTTTTAAAAATCTTTTTTTTTTTTTTTTTTTTTTTTTTTTTTTTTTTTTTTTTTTTTTTGTTTTTTTTTTTTTTTTTTTTTTTTTTTTTTTTTTTTTTTTTTTTTTTTTTTTTTTTTTTTTTTTTGAGATAGGGTTTCTCTGTAGCTTTGGAATTTGCCCTGGAACTAGCTCTTGTAGACCAGGCTGGCCTTGAACTCACGGAGATCTGCCTGTCTCTGCCTCTTGAGTGCTGGAATTAAAGGCGTGCACCACCAGTGCCTGACTAGTTAATTTTATGAGAGGGGGACTCTAAAAGTGGGTTCACAATTACTGAGTCTGCCATTACCGAGTCTGGATTGAGCACATACCCAAAACAGCACCCTCTTTGATCCCTTCACTGTCCAGAAAGAGAGAGGCACAGTCACTATACTGATGAGGAAACAGACCTCCCCAAGATGCTATTCCCAAGGCAGTGTTAACCAAAGGCCTCACATCTCTATTCCCCACAGTCTTTGGTCCTGATAGAAAGGGCAGAGTTGAAGTGATAGAGAGAGAGAGAGAGAGAGAGAGAGAGAGAGAGACAGATAGATAGACAGAGAGACAGAGAGAGAGAGACAGAGAGCGAGCGAGCTGGGAATGTTGATCACCAAGAAACAAACTGATGGCAGGAGACAGGGAGACTTATAGCTAGACATACATGCCCCTGCTCCTCTGTGGAACTGCACATGGATTCCCCGTAAGCCTCAGGTCAGCTCATACCTACTTTCAAGCTTTGGAAAAGGCTCTGGAGGAGGAATGAAAGCTCTAGGCATTAAGTTCTAGGATGCAACTCCCTGTAAGTGATGTGACCTGTCCCAGCCTACCATGATCCCAGATGGGCAGATGACATGGGGAAGTGTGAGCCTTAATAGCCAGAGAGCTGACTTTGTTGACACTGGGGCAACCACTGGCAAGTAGCATGGAGGCTTCCTGGGATGGGTGTGGGGTAACAGCTTGCAAAGCCGGGTCTGCCCAGGACCTGTTTGCTGTGCTCAGTGTCCTGGCTGTGAGGAGTTGGGTGCACAGGGCCCAACTCCTCATTACCCCTTGTTGTACTCTTCTCTTCATCCAAGAGCATGGTAGCAATGGTTAGGAAGTGTCATTTCTCAGGTTTCTGTTGTAAGTTATACCCTGCGCGCCATCTGTGGGCTGTTTCTCCCGTGAAAGAAGCTCTGGAGATCTCCACTCTCCATTTCTGCTCTCCCACTACAAAGTGAAGGACCTGCCTGGTTATTTCTAGGGATCAGCTTTGGATTCTATCTCATACCATAGCAGAGTTGGTTATTTTTCTGGATGGAACCCAGGACCTCACATATACTAGACAAGTACTCTACCACTGAACCACACCCTATCCTGCATTGGATTCACTTTCTTGTGACCTTTGTTGATCTAGTTGAAGTCTACTTAGAGAAGGGACAGAGTCCCATGTCCTCTGGAGCCTCCTACAGTTTCTTGGTGTGTGTGTGTGTGTGTGTGTGTGTGTGTGTGTGTACATGCATACTGGTGTGGCTGTCCCCACTGGCCTTTGTCCTGCCTCTTCTGTGACTCTTGGTTCATGCAGACACTTTCTGAGTTATATGTTTGTTTCTTGCCATTTGTAGGCACCATGGGAGCGAGGTTGTGAAAGTGGCATTTATAGTCCAACGGTTCAAGAAGATGGGGTATTTCATGACTGTCACCAAAGACGGGATCTTGCAGTTCTGGTCCGAGACTTTCTCAATAATGAACTCCTTTAGGGTGAGTCGGGTATTCACGGGGTTGGTGGAGAGCCTCTGTTGTGGCACCCTGGGTGGACTTGCCTTTGGCACTTATTATCTGAGCAGCCTAGCTTTGGAGTCACAGGGCTTGAGTTAAGATTATGACTCAACTACTGGAGCCTCACACTTGTCTCCTACTAAGCAGAACACTGCTTGGATGTCTACTAGGCACCTACAGAGCAGTTTGTCCAGGGAGTGTGTCCCTGGAGTCCCCATCTCAGTGAGTGTTATCCTCTAGCCTCTGTGCCAGTGCCTGGCCTTCTCTCCTTGCTCTGTCATACCCACACTGTCTCTAAGTCCTGCTGATAGAAACCTTTGTCTGGTCCAGGCAAGAAATTATGGTATTTGGGCTCTGGGGTCCAACTACCAGGGTTAGAGTCCCAACTATACCACCCAACAGCTGTGGCATGCTGGCCGAGCTATCTCTGATTCCTGGTATGTACTCCTCTTGGAGTAGTAGCCCCTCTCAGGATTGGGGGAGTACTTAATGGTATGGGTCATGGATCATGCTGGAGCATGTCAGGCATTCAGCAAGCACAGATGAATAGACGTCAACATCATCATGAGCTTTCTGCTATCAGCTCATGGCCTAGTGTAGAAAGGGATGACATAGTCAGACAAATCAGCTGTGCACTTGGTGCTGCCAGACTAGTGGAGGATCCTGCAACAAACAAACAAAGACCTACCCTCCAGGGCTCCCCAGCAAGGCATGGAGAACACGGTCAGCAATGTGAAGGGTTTTATGCCTCTGTAGTCACATAGTGCTTTTATACTTGCAGCATGGATCAGCCCTTATGAGAGGAGAGACTTATATGGGGCTAGGGTGGGTACGTGTGTGTGTGTGTGTGTGTGTGTGTGTGTGTGTGCTCACATCTGCATTCCTGAGTCTGTGGTATCTGGCATACTCTGCCTCCCTTTCTCCACATGTGTATGGATTAAGGTGTTGGTAGCCTGATCTCTTGACAGTGACTGCTCTATGGCCACCTCAGGGGTCAGAGCTTGGGAGGCTGACAAGACAGAGGAAGCCTTCCTGAGAAGTCTTGAGAGTTCTGGAAGTTCTTCCTGAAGGAGCTGGTTTGGGTTAAATTGTGGACCTCTCAGGACCATCAGCCAGGACCCACTGGGGACTCACTGTCATGCAAATAGGAGGCTTTGGAGGTAGGCCTGGCCTTAAGTCCTTGGGGTCATGAAGATGGGTGACTATTAGAACCATTTTACAGATGAGGAATTTAGCCAAGGCCCTGTTTTTAGAGCTGACATGAGGCATGCCAGGACTGTGCTTGTTCCCAGGGCCTGTGTGACAGGAAAGGCCCCTGTGCCTCTGCGCTCTGGTAGCAATCGTCCGTGGTCTGAGTCTCTGTTCTTCTTCTGCCAGCTCTCCCAGATCCAGCAGTCCTTCCACCAGAAGATTTGGGTTGTCGACATGGTATATATACACAACATGAACCTCATTGCAGTTGCCTCCACTGAGCTGAAGATAGGTGAGTCCCTGGGGCTCTCCAGGCCTGCCCTTAGCTTTTAGCAAGTGACAGATTTGCACTTGGGACAGACTTTGTTGGCTGAGCAACTGTGAGCTTGAATGGGAGTTTTTTGGGAAATGTTGGAAAGTGAGGGCCTGCCAAGTGTTGTGTGCTGTAAAAGGCACTGGGTGTTGGTCGTTTGTGTTGGTGGTTTCTTTTTAGGCAGATGTTCTCAGTGAATGCTCAATGTTTACAAGTATTGAACAGTTCTAATTATAGATCACAGCCCACGCCAATCTCTCCAGCTTGATTCTACCCTTGTGTCCTGCTGCCTCTAGCCCAGGCCCACCTTTGGTTGTCACTGGGATAGCACTGAAGTCCCTCTTGCTTAGCACACGTCCTCTGAAGGTCACTATGGTAGCCACAAATGGACTTTTGAAATGTCTCCCTGCAGAAAACCTTCACAAAGCACAGACTGGGGGAGGAACCTTAGTGTGACCTGAGAGGCAAGGAAGAGCTGGCCCTACTGCCCATAGGTTTCCTTGGACTGGACCCTCCTTCTGTTGTGCTGAGGATGCTGTGACCTTCTCTTGCCATCTCTAATGGGTACCGTGGGTCAATTTGTGTGCTCCACCTTCTCTCCCACACCTCTCCCCGCCCCAGAGCTTCTACTCTTCCTTTGATCCAGAGACCCTTTCATGACCACCTAGTCCAAGTCAGGTGCCTCCCAAAAAAATCCCCGTCAAGCCCTTTGGCGTGATCTTATGCTTGTCAGCTAGAGTCTGTGGTGTCTGCCTTCTTCTCTGTCCTGGAGCTCGGGCAGTGGGGACGGACGGCGTCTGCTTCACTCACCAAGCGCTCAGTGCTTGGTGCCACCTAGAGGCTTGGTAGTACTGGGTAGGTGGATAGATGGATAAAGGGTCCAAATAGTCATGTGTCCCAGATCATGAAGGAGAGGACTTCATGTGTGTCCCCATGGTCCATGGTGCAGAACTAGACAGGAGGCTGGAGAGCAGCGGTTCTGAAACTGCCCAGGTTTCAACTCTGGTCCTGATACTCAGCAGGTGTGTGACTTTGAGCAGCTACTTTACCTTTGAGGGCCTTAGTCTACCCAGAGGAAAAACAGAGTCAGTGCTCTGTATCTCTAGGTGAGTGTGGGTTAGTGATTGGATATGGGAGGTGCTTGGTATACATTTGCCAATGCTGTCCTTATTAGGAGAACAGACTGTGACACAGCCAGAAAAACAGCTAGGGTGTGAGCAGGCAGGAGCTCTCCCTTCACCCGCAGTCCTGAGAGCCTGACCCCAGCTCCTCATACCATGGAGCTCTGCTGACTGAACTGACATGGTAGGCCGTCAGCACGAACCTTGACCTATGTGACTTGGCCAGTTAGCCCTGCTCTGTGACCCATAACCCAACCCTTCTGGGATGGCTGGGCCTGTAGGAAGCAGACACTTAAGGGCCTGTCATTCAAACGTGGGAGACTGCTCCTCAGCCTGAGTGATTTGCGGCCAGAGCTGCCAGAAGGAGCCAGGCTTCCTAAATCAGTAGCAGCTGTGTGTCAGGGCCCCATGGAAGGCTCTTGGGCAGGATGGAATTAATGTTTCAGAAGATCAGTCTGGCAGGCTGGTTCCAGACACTGAGGGATGGGTGAGCCTGCACAAAGCCACCCTACATCTGTTCTTCATATGCACCTGCATGCCGTGAGCTCTCCTGGTCTCTGATCTGCTTGAGTTCCCAGCTCTAGCCCTGATGAGGGTGGTGAGTGATGGGGAGCAGATCTCTGTTTCTGTTGGCTTCAAACACCTCCAGGGACACACACATGGACGGGCCACTGGAAGCCCCAGGGGCCACATTCCCCAGGGCTTGGGATTTGTCCCTTCATTGTGCATCACAGCCAGTCTCTCAGCGAAGCAGACCCTGGGGACTGTGTCAGAGGCTGAGGAGCCCACAGGTGCCATGTGAAACATGCTCCCTGTCCTCACACAGCTCTCAGGCCAGGCAGCTCCTGCAGTCAAAGAAAGCAGGTGGGGAGGGAGATTGACAGGCAGCCAGCCAGATGGGAGAGTACCAGTGGGCCTAGCTGAAGAGGTGGGAAGCCTTTCTAAGAAGGGGTCCTGGAGCTGGTCTGGAAGAGTTCTGACTGTATTTAAGGTGGACAAAGCAGGGAGAGGCAGGACCCAGAAGTGCATGAGGTTGATGCGTCTAGAGAGATAAGAAACTGGCATGCTTGGAGCCTAGTGGCCGGACAGGGGCCACAGGCCAGGCAGGAGGAGGCATAGAGGTGCTCTTCCAGATAGACAAGATACACTGCACTGTGCAGGGTCTGATCCTACAGGACTTCACAGGTTAGGTCTTCACTAAGCTTTTGTTCTGGCTGCAGTAGGGGCTGGAGGGCAATTTGTAGCTTGGTGAGTGGCTGTGCTTGGGTCTACTGTTTTTGGCTGCTGTGGGGGTGGGCTACAGGTCCAGAGAGGTGGCAGGGAGTGCTGGGAGGCTGTTTGCCACCAGAGCCACGGCTCTCAGCTCTGTGTGTCACTCTTTTCTCTTCCAGAGTTCTTTGATATCAGTAACCACAAATGTGTTCAGGCCTTCACCTTTATTGACCTGGATAGCTGTGTCATGGTCATGGATTATTGGTAAGTCTCACAGGAACTGAGACAGGGTCTTGGGAGCTACCACATCACTGAGAAGGGGGCTGAGACCCTAGAAGCACCTGGGGAGCTGGCTCTGACCTCATTGCCATATTGTTCCTCACTGCTTCTCTTGAGTCTTGCTCAGTCACCCCACCCTTAGAGTCCTCCTTATTCTCCTCCGCCTCCCCCTTCTTACTCCGCCCACCACTCAATGCTGGCAGAGGCCTGCCCTGTGGCACCAAGGTCTCTGGGAAGTAAAAGTGGTCAACACAGAGCCTGACTACTGGTCTATGCTTGGCTGCTGGCCAGAGGCCCACAGCAAGGCTGGAAGTCTGTTGGAACTGTCCTTGTCCCTAAGGTGGACAGGGGTAGCAGGGTAGAAGGTTCCACAGTGAAGGGTTAATAGCCTAACAGCCTCAAACAGCCTGGGAAACTCTATGCAGGAAGATTGGATACCCTGATAATATCAGAGATAGCACTGGGCAATTAGTCAGAAGGAGAGAGGTCAGTGGCCAGGGCTCAACATGTTATTAGGACCTCCCAGGAGAACTTCTGGTAAGGATGCCAGAGTGATAAGGACTCCTTTATGGGCCTGGGAAAGCAGCATATAGATCTGTAGTCAAAAACCTTCCTACCCAAAAGTCCCCTTTTCTACCTTATAAAACCCAAAGTCCCTGGTGCCCTGGCACGTAGCTACTACTCTCATGGTGGAGAGGCTGCCCTTGGTTGTTCTGCTTCTGTAGAGGTCAGTCTCCTCTTTATTGTCACATCAGCTCCATCAATCCCGATCTGACACAGCACATTCTATCTTCGTCTTCCCCAGGTCCGACTATCACAAAGGTGTGTTCTGCTATGGGGACACCAAGGGCAACGTCGTCATCTTCATGTCTGACAATGTGGCTGGTGGGCTGTTCAACCCACACATCCTTCCCTGGACCTCCAAATGGGGTAGCTAAAAGACACGAGAATGGGCTGAGGCCTGGGGAGTGGGTAGCCGTGGGTGTTGAGTTGGCCCCCAACTCTGAGGCATTCTTATTTCCCTGTCTCCCCACTCTGAGCATCTGGTGAGGATGTGCCCTGACTACTGGATGAGGTAGAGCAGTGGTGACAGGAAAGGCCAGAGGGTCCAAGGTGAGGGACAGTCTTTTGAGGTGGGAACTTTTGCAGGTGAGGACCGAAGACTGCAGATTTTCCTCCGCTCAGGGAGAGTGAATTGCTTGGCGGTGGCCCTGGGATGTGTCACTTGTCCTCTGAGGTTCAGGATAAGCCACCCTATCTGATTCCTGTGAGGGCTTCTGCTCTTCCTGGTTTTGAGCTATCTTTGGATGGGTGAGAATAGATTGGCAAGGTCATAAGGTGGGCTGTGGGGGAACCTAGGGGACCACTAGGCTTGGCAGCAGCGTGAATAACTGCACCCGGCATTAGTGAGCAGCTGTACCCTGAGCTCTTGATGCATCATCTCCTGTTACCACCCCCTGCTAGGACCCAGGGACTTGTTACTGCCCATTAAGAGGTTTAGTGAGCTGAAGCTACTCGCACATGCCCCAAGGCTGGGGAGTGTGACTGAGGTCTTAAGCCAAGCTGCCCATCCAGAGTCTCCAGTTCCCACCATGTGCTGGGATGTGTCCTAAATTGACCCAGGAAGCCATTTTAAGTTAGAGCTTCTTTGACAAAGGGTATAAGGTCAGCAGAGGCCATGGACCTGGGGCTTCCTGAGAGACTCAGTGGTGATGGATCAGATCCAGGATGGAACCTTAGGTGTGGTGCTGGACCCTGGGGCCCTGCCTGCAGGGAAACTGACCTCCTTTCTATCCAGGATGCCAGAGCTGGGACGTCTAGCTATGGAGGTCTCCAAGGGTTCCCAGGCCTTGGCAAGGACCCCTACTAAGCTGGCTTGATGATGTTCTGGAAGGGTTGTGTGTATGTGTGTGCACATGTGTGTGTGCTGGGGATTGAACCCAGAGCCTTGAGTGTGTCAGACAAGCTTTGTAGCACTGAGCTACACTTCCAGCTAGCACGCTACTTTGTCATTGTCCCATCAGTCCCTGGTGGCTGCCCCACCCTGGTCATGCTTGTGTCATGGTGGTCTCTGTATGAGTGGTGAATGAAGCAAGGCAGGGGATTAGTGGGTGTGAGTCCTTCAGGGCCACCCACTAGATGGAAGCCTGGGAGCAAATATGAAGAGATGGTGGGATGCAAGAGGGGATGGACAAAACTAAGGAGTATGTACCTAGCTCTGGGTGATCTGAAGCCAGTTGCTTAACCCTTCTGAGCCTCAGTCTCCTATTCAAATGGAGACAGGGACAACCATGCTTAATTTTTGGCTCTGCTATAAGATGCTTGGAATGAGGGAGCGTTAGGTACGTAGAAGTGCTTAGAGACTGTGTCTTTCTACCCTCCTGGGACCTCAGAGTCTAGTGGGAAAGACACACAGTAGACACTGCTGTGCTGCAGCTTCCCCGTTAACATGCCGTCTGGCTCAGGACTTCCTTTGCATGTGTGTGTTCATGTATATATGTGAATATGTATTTTATGGATGCTTATGTACATGTGAACATGTGTGTGGAGGCCAGAGGCCAACAACAGGCATCATTCCTCAGGACCTGTCCGCCTGGTGTTTTGACACAGGGTCTCTTAGTAGGACCTGGGACTCACCAAGCTCCAGCTTCGGGAATAAGTTATCTCCTCAGCCTGAGGGCTTTTATTTTCTTTTTTGCAAGTTTTCTTTTACCCCTTGAACAGACTGCCCCCCTCCCCGCACAGTGTTTTTTTTTTTTTCCATGAGTCCTGGGAGTTGCCAAACTGACCAGCATTTCTGACCTCTTCCATGAATAGCTCCTGACCCTACTACGGGCATCGCATAGCATGGCTGAATCATCATCCATCTATCAGTTTTCTCTCCCTGGGCATTCATTACAAGGACAGGGCAGTGGGTGTGGGCAGTGCCTAGCATGCAGGAGTTGCTTGCTCATGGTGCATACTTGCACCCTGTACTTCTTGGGACTTTTGCTTTCTGGCCAAGGAGGCTGTGTGTCTTGAGGCATGATGGCAAGCCCCCAGTGCATCACTTTTCAGAGTGAATACAGCCTGAAGTCTCCGTTCATTCTCTGGAACACACGAATGGGGAGCCTTCTCTTGTTGGATGGCAGCGCCTGGGAGTGCATAGCCCCTGGAAGCTGGTCATTGTTGTACTCTGGGCTTGCAGGGCCATGCTGGGCAGCAGGGAAAGAGATGGAAGCTCTGTCAAGCTCATGAAGTCACATGAGGCTCCAATGAGTGGCTGTCTGGTTGGTGTTCTGGGATGCATGGATGCACAATGTGAAAATGTCCTCTAAGCTGGCAGAGGAGAGGTTGCTAATGTGGAGTCTGTTTCCCTGCCAGATAACCAGATCAATATTTCCTTGCGGAAACTCCTAAATGAGAAGTCCCCTCTGTATAGGAGCTTCCGAATGAAGGTATGTGTGTCTTTCCTTAGCCTGCCATTATCTGCATACATGCTCTACTCAAAAACCAATGTCACAAATGGCTTTACCTTCTCGGCTCAGCCTCAGCTCCTGGGGGCTTGGCCTCTGAGGACAGAGTGCAGGAAGCTGTTGTATCCCATCCATGTCTTGAGCAGCTCCTGATACAGGTGTGTCCTAAGGCTAGCCCCGACTTTCTCACAGCCTCCTTGGCTTCTCCGAGTTAGTGAAAACATCAGCTTTATTCTGGACTGTCACTGGCTTTCTGTTTGGTTTCCCTGCTTTCCCTCCGCCCCCTCTCTCTCCATGAAGTGCTTGTTCGGTTCAGCAACCAGAGGGAATCTGCTATAGAATATAGTCATGTCACCCCGGCAGCTTCTCATCATGCTTGAAGCAATTTCAAATCTTTGACTTGAGCATCAAACAAGCTGATAAGCCTCTGGCTTACTCCATTGCTAGCACCCCACTCCCTGCAACCGAGCCAGAGTCTCATGTATTCAAGGCTAGCCTTGGACTTTCTGTGGAGCCAAGTTTGACTCTTGAGTTTTCTGATCTTCTCGCCTCCACCTTCCAAGCGCTGGCATTACAGGCACATGCCATCACATGCGTGGTGGGGGTTGAACCCAGGGCTTTGTGCATGCTAGGCCAACATTATCCCAACTGAGCTACTTCCCCATGTCCTGCTGCTCTCTCCTTTCCTCTCGTTTGTTGCTGAGACAGGCTCCCTTGCTCACCCTAGAACTCCCCAAACCCTTTCTTACCACAGGGCCTTGACACATGTTTCTTCATGCTGCAGAGATCATCTCTCACCCCTACACTTCTGGTTCTAAGTAGCCTTCCCCGAATGCCCTGAGGCTGCCTCTGCTGTTAGCCCTGTCCCTGGAAGAGGTTATCACTCCCAACTTTGAATTATCAACCTATTGGTCTTGTCCTGTTAGCCTCACGGCAGCGACAGCTCCTCAAGGACTGGGGCTTCGTGGGTTGTGGTCTCTGGAGAGAAAGTCTCTGGTTGTTCCCAAAAGAGGGCCCAGTGACTTCTGGTACATTCGTGGAACAGATGAATGAATGAGGCTCTCAGTGCAGATCTGAGTTGGACACATTTTTAGGAACAGGCACGTGACGTCACAGGAAGCAGTACCCACACTACTCCCCCTCTTTTCTTTTTCTCAAGTCTGGATTCAAGATCATTGTCCTTGAACACCTGATCCTCCCACCTCCATTTCCCAACTGCTGAGATTGCTGCGTGTACCACCACGCTTGGCTCCTTCCCCTCTTTTCTTCTGTGGTTATCTCATTAGGATGAAGCTTGCCCTTGAAGTTACTAAGCATGCCAGGCCTCATTCAGTGCCTTGGCTTAGATACCATTATTGTGACAGACATTAGAGGAAATAGAGACGTTAGACCCCACCCAGGGGCTTGCACGTTTAAGGCATGTTTGATAATCGTATCTGTGTGCCCATCCTTGCTCTTCTTGTCTCCAGAAGGGAAATCTCCAGGCTGGGAGGCTAAGCACAGGTACCAGCCAGGTCCACAGAGAGGGTGTGTTAGTTTGCGCTCTGTTGCTGTGATAAAACACTGAGCAAAAGCAACTTGGGGAGGAAAGGGTTTCCTTGGCTTACAGGTCCCCATCACACACCACCACTGATGGAAGTCGGGGTAGGAACTGAAGCACGAGCTGAAGCAGGAACCATGGAGGAGGGCTGCTGGTTCTCCATGGCTTCCTCAGCCTGTTTTCTTATACAGCCCAGCACCACCTACCCAGGGCTGACACCACCCACAGTGGGCTGAACCCTCTCACATCAATCATTAATCAAGAGAACGACCCATAGACATACCTACAGGCTAGTCGGATGGAGGCAACTCTTTAGCTGGGGCTTCCTCTTCCCAGCTGACTCTAGTTTGTGTCACGTTGACAAAATCTTGCCAGTCAGAGCCTGGGCCAACCCGCCTTCTCTGCCCTCTGGGTGCTATCTCCCTCTTGCTGTAGTCCAGGTAGAGAGTGTATTCTGCCCCTCCTGATCCTGGAAGCTATTGTGTTCTGACCAATACAGAGGGTGACAGTGGGCCCAGAAATGCAGACTTCTTGTAGTGAAGGCAGCCAGTAGAAGACAGACTAGGGCTTAGGCACCCTTGAGTCCAACCTTTCTCCCTGCTTGGAGGAATGACATTATCATGAGCCCAGTCTGTGGCTTCTAAATCTAAGAGACTCTTTGGACACAGGAGTCCAGGTGATGGTAGGTTTGGTGACAGGGATGGGCTAGACACCCTGGTCATGGGACCTGGTTAGGACCATGGGCCACATCACTTTGTCCAAACTGTTGCTAAGACAAGGGCCTTAGATTTTGTGATCTTCAGTCCCATTCCGCACTGGCCTTGGCTAAGTTCCAGGGACAGGATATGGAACTCAACTGTCCCTGGGAGGTCTCCTGCGACAGCCATTCTCTCTTTTAGAGTCTCCACCCTAACTGGTGTCAGCAGGTCAGATTCATCCCCCAGCTGAATGTGGTGGTCTCGTGTTCAGCCACTGAGAGGTCCTCTCTGGTGCTGACAATCCTGCCAGCCAAAGACCCTGAGAAACCCAGGTAAGGAGTACCAGGTAAGGGGGGTGGGCAGCAGGTGTGCCCTGGATAGGTCTGGCTTCCCTCTGCCACATGCAGATAGCCTTAATGAGAGAGAATACACTGCCCTGGGGCTTGTGCTGGGTCCCATAGGCCAACAGTGGATGTAGGACCGAGCACGTGGGCTCTGTGTGTGTGTGGTCTGGGGGACCGAACATATACCTTAGTGCACACATGTGTTGAAATAAGGAGCGGTGGCGGGGCTGCGTCCCCAACACCCTGGCCGCTTGGCTAGCTCATGCCCGAAATAACAACACACAAACTGTATTCATTTAAGAACTGCTTGGCCCATGAACTCTAGCCCTTACAGGCTAGTTCTCGCACCTGGACTAGCCCATTTCTAATGATGTATGTAAGCACACCAAGGTGCGCTTACTGGGAAGAGTCTAGCCTCCGTCCATCTTGGTGTCTCTGCTCCAGAGAGCAGAGCTGTCCGGTCTCTCCTGGAGCAGAGCAGAGTCTGACCTCACTTCCTCTTCCGCCCAGAATTCTATTCTGTTTTCTCCTCTCATCTATGCTTTAACCTATGAGGGCCAGCCAAGCAGTTTCTTTATTGCTCAGCCAATGAAATCAACAGATTGATATGACACTCCCACATCACACATGGAGGCCAGAGGACAGCCTCTACTGTTGGTCCCTGTCTCCCACTGTTTGAGACAGGGTCTCTCTGTTGTTGACCACTGTGTCCACCAGACTGATTGGCCTGTGAGTTCCTGAAGGATCTCCTGGTTTTGTATCATAGCTTGCTATAGAAAGATGGGCTTACAGATGTGTACTACAATGCCCAACTTTCCATGGTGTCTGGGAATTCAAACTCAGGTCATCGTGCTTGTGTGGCAAGTCCTCTGCCCCCTGAACTGCCTGCCCAGCTCCAGCAGACCTGCTTTACTGACAAATTTATTAAAAACAAGCAACAAAACCACACCAACCCCAGGCTATGTTAAGTAGGCAGACGAAAGGCTTGTCTTGTCTTTTGTCTCTCTCTGTGTTTTGAAGGGAACGGTGAGGAAGGGTCTCATGTAACTGAAGCTGGTCTTGAACTTCTGATCCTCCTGCCTCCACCCTGCAAAGGCTAGGATTACAGGCTTTTGCCACTAGCTGGGATCAAAATACGTTTGCAAATGGAGTCATGAAAGTGAATGGCTTACCCGTGAAGGGTGAAGCCAGTGTCTACCCCAGACCTCAGGGAGCCCTTGAGTGGAGAATGTTCTGTGTGGCATATGTTATACTTCACAGTAAAAGCAAATGAAAAAAACCAACTCATCAACTGCAAAATAAGTTATTTAGGTGGCAAAAGTTATGTCTTCTCTTCCTACGACAAGCCACAATACAGAAGCAGGACAACCCCCACGAGCTCATGCATTGTTCTTGGAGACAGTTCCAATATGCTCTGTTTTCTTCTTTCTAGGAGTATTTTATTTCATTGCATTTGATGGCAGGAAGCCAGAGGGTCATCTCACCATGGTCTCGGGAGGCTGCTTCTGATGCCTTGCCCTCCTTTCCCGCCTCCTCTTCCCATTCTCGATGCGCAGGCCCAGAGTTCAGGCACACTGTGCCCCAGGCCCTCTGCTCCTTTCTGCTCACTGTGTTCTCATCTTTCTTTTTTGCTTGCTCTCCATGTTTTTTTTTTTTTTTTTGATTTTGAGACAAACTCTTGCTGTGTAGCTCAGATTGGCCTTGCACTTGCCATCCTCCTGCTTCTGCCACCCGAGTGCTGGGATTGTAGGAATGAACCAACATATCTGGTTTTCTTGTTTGGTTTTACCCCTGTGCCAGGGGACCAAATCCAAGGTCTTGTGCTTGCTAGGCAAATACTCCATCACTGAGCTAAAGCCCAAGCTCTCTCTTGTTTTATTTTTTCTTTATTTCCTTCCCTTTTTTTTTTTATAAATTTGTTTTTGAGTCAGGGTCTCACTGTATAGCCCTAGCTGGTCCAGAACTCATTACATCGGCCAAGCTAGCCTCTAACTTATAGAGATGTGTCTGCTTCCTGAGTGTTGGGATTAAAGGCACGCACCATCATTCTCTGCTCTGCTTTTCTTTTCTCTCTTTCTCCTTCCCTCTCTTTCTCCCTCCTTCCCTCCCTCCCTTCCTTCCTTCCCTTTTTTTTTTTAAAATTTTTTGAGACAGGGTTTCTCTGTAGCTTTTGGGACCTGTCCTGGAACTCGCTCTGTAGACCAGGCTGGCCTCGAACTCACAGAGATCCGCCTGCCTCTGCCTCCCGAGTGCTGGGATTAAAGGTGTGCGTCAGCACCGCCCGGTGCATCTCATTTGCTTAGCATTTTTATTTTGAAAAAATCTCAAATATATGCATAAGAACATAAAAGAAATCCACAATTCCTTATTGTCACCTGGGCACTAGTTCAAGTACTTAGAATGCTGTGTTCTAACCCTCTAGAATCAGAATGCAGATCGTTCAAGTCTAAGGGCCAGGAGAGGTGGCACTATTGGCCTTGGAGAAGGCTATCCCAATAGTTCAGGCTATGCATGGTGGTTACCTGAAGGTGGCCACGGGTGAAGGTGGAGAGGCTGGAATATTTAATTTGGGGATAGGTTGGAGGATGTATAGCAAGTGTACACACGTGGCCTCTTCTGTCTTGGTGCAGTACCACCTCAGGCCAGGAGGTGGCACTATTGGCCTCTGGTACCTGATGTCCTCTTGTGAAGTAACTAGAGTAGGTGAAACTTGAGGGGCCAAGACTCCTGTAGAGTCACCCTCAGCCTCTCAGGACCCCTAGGGTCCAGCTTCATTATAGTTGGCCTTACCTGATCTCTTCAGGTGGTTGATTGAATCAGGAGCAGAGCTGGCAGAGGATCAGGGACTGGGGCTGTTAGAACTGGTGTGGAGTGTGTCACTGACCCACCCTGCCTCCCCTCCTTTCTCTTTCCTCATTTCTTCCATTCTTCCATCAACTCTTATCTGAAGTCGTGGTCAGAGCTCACTAGGTCCCCTCTGGCTGCTGTCCCTAGACACAATCATCTGAAGATCTCATCCTTTACAGTCCAGTTCCCCACTACCTTGCTTCGGACCACTTCCTCCAGCCCTATAACCTTGTACTAACTGCTCCCTGGGTCTGAAGCCTTGTCCCTCTCTGCATGCTCCCTTGGGCTATTTCTAATTCTTTTGTAGGTGTCTGCCTCCCAGCACCCTTCTCAGAGAGGCTGTCCCAAATAAGTCATTCTGTTTCCCTCTGCTAAGCCATCCATTGCTTCCCCTGCAGGCTTCCTCGTAGCTGATCACCGTGGTCCCTCCTGTCCCCATCCATTTCCTTGTTCTTGTGAGACAAGGTCTGTAAGGCGGGGAGCATAGTGGTTCCTGAGTCCTGGCAGGACTGTGCAGAGAGGAGTGAGTCAGTTTGAAGTAATTCCTTCTGTCCTCTTGGCAGCCGTTGTTGTAGGACATTTCTCTCACATAAGTGTGTAGATGGAGACATCTGTTTTTTTTTTTTAACATGTATTTGTTATAGGGATGGTGGCCCAATACTGCACTCATGTGGAGCTCAGAGGACAACTTGCTGGAGTTGGTTCTCTCCTGCCATGGAGTGGGTTCCAGGAGTTGAACCCCATTACAGGCTTGGCAGCAAGTGTCATTATCAACTAAGCTCTCTCATTGGCCCACATCTCTGGCTTGCCAGTGGGTGGGATTGCTCTTGAAAATCTAAAGCAAGGCTGGAGGTTAGGAAACAGTTGGGAGGCTGATATGGAAGTGAAGGGGTCCTAAGCTGGACGTGGTGTGGTGTGAAGGCCACAGGGAAGAGTTGGCCTGGCTAGCGTCCCAGGAAATTTCTAGGCAGGCAGTTCAGTGGCCTGTGTAGGGGACCTGGCAGCCCTGGGATCCTGCCTCACCCTTCCTTTTTTTCTCTTCCTGGATGTCTTGAGCCATCTCCTGTTGTGCCCACCAGGGCGGAGTCCTCATCCTTCATCCCACAGGTGTGTGTTCTCATCTCACCATGGCAACACCACTCCTAAGGATTGCATGTGGTGACCTGTGAGATGGCATCTAGCACAGAGTGAGGGCACAGCACCCATGGCTCTGGCCTGCTTTTTTATAGTTTATTTTTAAGGTTTCTCATTTATTTGTATCTTGGCCTGGAGGATACCTGCCTGAAGGTGGTGGGTGTAAAATCATGTTAAGTTTTTTCTTGGAACAACACAAAATGCTTTACAAATGCGAAGACTTTCTCATGTTTGGTTTTTTTTTTCTTCCTAAAGGGTGGGTGCAACTGATTTGGGCATCTGCTACTTCACTGGGCTATGCTTTGGGTTCTGGGTGAGCATTGTGCAGGCCTGGGGCCTCTCTTCTTCATGGGCAGAGAGATACTGACCCCTCCCCATCAAGCACCTAGCTCCTCCCCTCCTGAAGTCCAGTCTGCTGCTCTTAGCCCTGCATCTTCCCCACTTGGCTTTTTGCTCTAGGTTATCAACATTGAATTTAAAAAAAGGAATTCTCTGCTTTGATTACTGTCCAGACAGGAACTTCCTGGGTAAGTCATCTTTGTGTTCCCCACAAGCAATGCTGGGGTGGGGGCTGCACAGCCTGGGGATGATCAGAGCCAAGGACATGGCTCTGTATAGTCCCAGGCCTCTGGCTTCTTCCACTGCTGAGCTACATCGCTGGGAGGCGGGATGTGACTCTGTCAGAGATGGACATAGGTAGGAAAGGGCAAGAAGGCCAGTGACAGACCGCCATGACCTTCTCCATCTGCTAACTCTGGCTGGAGCCTGAGGCCTGGCCCTGGAAGGAGGTCCCAGTGCAGGCCCTGGTAGCTGATAACTCATTTCTTGACCCCAGCAACTGGTGGCTATGACCCCCACATCCGCCTGTGGAACCCGCTGGTCTCAAAAAAGCCTGTGTGGCTGATGAAGGGACATCAGACAGCAGTGACTCACCTCCTCGTGAACAGCAAGAATGCCAGCATCCTGATCAGCATCTCCAGGGACAAGGTGTCACCCTCACGGAGCATACCTTTGTCCCCCATCCCTCCAGCTCTGTTCCCCAGGAAAGACACTGACCCTGGGGTGCTAACATAGCTCAGCTAGTATTGGGAGGAGTCTGAGACACAGAGGTAACCTTTTTACCCCTGGTCTCACACTTTGCCAAAGGCCCACAGGGGGGAGCCCTAAGAGAGTCATTATACAAGTGGCCTGAAGTGGGGGAACAAGTGAAGGTCTGAGGCAGGGTACAGGCTGCCTGTTTTCTTTGCCTTTAGCTTTCTGAGCTTAGACGTCCAGGCAGGACAGAGATTTCCAGGAAAACTGAGGAAGGAGGCCTCGCTCTCCCTACCTCCCTGAGAACAGAGATTATTGGCCATTAGTTTACCCTCTTGGGAGGGGCTGTGACCTTGCCTAGGGTGCTGGCTGCTTCTGCAGACCCTCCTGCCTCCTGCCTGTTTCCTACAGAACATTCGCGTGTGGGACCTGCAGGACTATGTCTGCCTCCAGTCCTTCTGCGGGAAGCTCTTCAGCCTGGGCAACTGCCCCATCACCAGTGCCTACTTCCACAGAGACAGGAGTCTCATCTGTACCACCTACAACGTGAGTGCTGTCCGAGGGACAGGCCCAGCTAACAGGGGCTGTCCTGTGCTGGCCTGGCTCTGGAGTCTGTAAGGCTCTAGTTCTTGAGCTTCCTTGAGATCAGGCTCTGATTCTAGCCCATGCTTCTCTCCACCCCTACTGCTCCTACCCCATCCCCTCAGGGGGTCCCATGCGCCCCTCAGACTCCTCTGTCATTCCTCCATGCTCCTTTGGCCCCATCAGTTGTAATCATCAGCTCCAGGAAGACAGGAAGACCCTGGAGAAAACTGTCAGGGGGAGTGCCTGTGAGCTATGACTTGCCTGGTGCCTTAAGGAAGGCAGGAGGGGAGGACTAACTAGAGCCACGGTGAGACCTGGTACCATGTGGGAGCCCAGTGGCAGACAAGTGGCAGGAACCTCTGTTTTGTTGATGGAGTCTGCTCATTTGTTCCTGGCTGCCTAGACTCAAAATATCCACACAGAAACTATATTAATTACAATGCTGTTTGGCCAATAGCTTAAGCATCTTTCTAGTTAGCTCTTATATCTTAAAATAACCCATTTCTATTATTTTATATTTTACCACGAGGTTCATGGTTTTACCAGCAAGGTTCTGGCACATCTGTCTCCACGGTGGCTACACGGCTTCTCACTGACTCTGACTACTTTCTCCCAACATTCAGTTTAGGTTTCCCGCCTAGCTCTACTCTGTCCTTTCACAGGCCAAAGCTTCTTCTTTATTCATTAACCAATAAAAACAACACATATGCAGAAGAACTTCCCACATGCGACCACCCTGTCAAGGGACATTGATGTCTTTCTGTGAACATGGTTGTCTCTCTCCTTTGCAGCAGGTTTATGGAGAGAGAGAGAGAGAGAGAGAGAGAGAGAGAGAGAGAGAGAGAGAGAGAGAGAAGGGCTTACATCTCTGATGGGTGCTGAACTTGCTGTCAGTAGTTTTAAAATTAAACAGATCTTTGAAATTCATTTCCAATCATCCTGGGCATTAGCATAGACTCTCTGGGTGGGGCTATGACCGTATTTAACGCCCAGCTTTGTTGGGACGTGAGAGTATATTACTAAGGTAACTTTAATTCAGTAGAAAGTACAAGACCATATGAAAGTGTTGGATTCTAAGGGTTCATGACCACAGGGAAGTCTCCACTGAGCCTGAGGCTGGACTGATCACAGAAGGCTTCCTAAAGGTGATTTTGGACTTGGAGGTCACAACCTTGGCCCCAAGTCATGTCTTTAACAAGTCAATTAAAAGAGCCAAATTAAAACCAGGCACACACCTTTAATCCCAGCACCCAGGAGGCAGAAGCAGGTGTGTCTCTGAGTTTGAAGCCAACCTGGTCTATAGAGTGGGTTCCAGGACAGCCAAGGCTAGACAAAGAAACCCTATCTCAAAAAACAAAAACAAACAAACAAAAAGTCAAACTGATAGAGGAAATCAGAAAAAGGAGATTTATTCAGTATGGTTACATTGGTAAGAGATACAAAGATTCAGCAAAGCCCTCAGGTCCATCTTTGGGGTCCTGAAGTGAGATTCAAGTTTAAACAGAGAGCCAAGGGTGTGCATATCTGAACAGTCCCAGGAAGACTGGCCATTGGCCCATTACTGTCCTGCTTCAGTACCCTCCTGTAAGATAGTCTGGTGTAGAACCATGAGAACTAACTTTCTGGGAGCTAAGTAATTCCCCACCCCCACCCCTGGCACCTGTCCTTCTATCAGTGTGAGATCCTGGGGAAATTCCCATTTCTCTGGGTTCACCGTTTCAGCAGTCTCATAGTCAGAGTGGAAGACGCAAGTGTCTCTTCAGAATAGCTTCATGTCTGCCAGGCTGGTTACAAAGGAGACACCTGAGTGAGACCATGGGTTTGGATCTCAAGGGGATTATTGGAACATGAGGGGCTAGGACTCCAAGTCCTGGAAATAGGGCCTTGGAGCAGGGTAAGAGAAGGAATGAGGGGCTAGAGAGATGGCTCAGCGGTTAAGAGCATTGCCTGCTCTTCCAAAGGTCCTGAGTT